GCAGGCCACCCCAGAAGAAGTGCTGGCAATGGGGTAGAGTGCAGTTGGCCTCTGCCCTCCCCTTGTCTTTGATCCTGGAACTGGCATCCCTCACAATTACCCAGCTGTAACACTGGCTGCGGGGCAGAGTACCGCTGGTCTCTGCCTACCAAGTAACACCAACTTCCAGCTGGAGAGCAACCGAGAATCCAGGAGAACCAGCAATTACTTGTGGGTGGGCTACTCGTCTAACTCAGGTACCGACCGACAGGAGGTCAGATACTTGGTTAGTCTCCCCTTAGGGAGGGAGATATGTGGCGAAAATGACCTCGCCACTGGTTTTTGGAGGGGCTTGTTTACCAGCCTCCTGCCCAAAGACTATGCTCCCTGCAAAAAGACATGTTAAAAAGTGGCTTTCATGGGAAAATGTGCCTCTTCGCCTCCCCCTTTTTCCTGTCCTATTGTATCCCAAGCAGGGCGTTGCCCCAGGGACACTGCCAGACCAGTTTAAACTGGCTGCTTTGTCCCTCCTCAATCTCCCATCAGACCTTGCTATTGTCTTACCCCACGCTTCTTTTTACTATAGTGCTCTATGTAACCTATTGTATGTAAATGAGGCTGTTGGGGGTTTATATGTGTGTTAAAAATTGTAAGTGCTTGCTTTGCATTAAAGAGTTTCTGTTTTACCCTCAACATAGAGCCTTGTCTCATGTGTGGGGAAAAAGGCTGCATCTACCCTGGGGATTGCTATATCACTATACTCCCCAGGGATTATAATCACTAAGCTCTTTGAAGAGCTGTTCCTGCTTGACTCTCTGGAGGAAGAGAGGTTCACCCACTGGAACCTGGAGCCTTGTCATAGGTCCAGGGTGGGTAGGAGACAAGTCTTTCCCAGCCAAGCTGTAATGCTGGACATGGGGACTGCGGTGCTGATGGTGTCTGGTGGAGTGCATGGAGACCTCGGTGAGCACTAGGAGCATCCGTCGGCGTTGGTACCCAACCGGGGTACAGGAAGCTCCGTTACAAATATATACATATATAATAATACAAAAATACACTTATATTACACACACATATATATATATTTATATATATATAATAACTATATATAATTTGTATATATATATATATATTATAAAATATAAATAATAAGTAAAAAATAAAAAAGTTTTAAAAAATTATATATATATATATAATTTTATTCTAACTGTATTTTGATATTAATATATATATATATATCAAAATACACTTATTATTTTTATTTATATATATATATATATATATATGTATAAATAAAAATAATATGATATATATATATATATATATAAATATAACCATATACATACAAACATAAATAATTTCATAAATATACATGTAGACTTCAAATATATAAATATGTATATATATGTATATATATATATATATATATATATATATATATATATATATATATTCTATGTGCATATTTATGTAATATTTTTACATAGTTAAGTCATTTTATTCATTGAAATTTGAGGGACCTGCCTGACAACCCAGGCCAAAAGTCCAGAGAACTTAATTTGCTAGCACTGTTTTTAACCCTGTAACCTCCCATGACACCCTAAAAGCTGTACATGGGGGGTACAGTTTTATTTGGGAGACTTCGCTGAACACAAATATTAGTGTTTCAAAACAGTAAAACATGTTACATGTTTTACTTTTCACACACAAACGTCACTTTCATTGATGATATCATTATTGTGATATGTTTTACTGTTTTGAAACATTAATATTTGTGTTCAACGAAGTCTCTCGAGTATAACAGTAGCCCCCATGTACAGGTTTTATAGCGTTTTTGAAAGTTATACGATCAAATATTAGGATTTATTTTCATTTGAAGCCCAAGAATGAGAATTACCCTCATGATTGCATACCACGTATTCACAAACACTGGCCAAATTTAGCTTTAATTATTGTTTTTTGCATTTTAACACACAAACTAATTGTGTACTCCCCCACCTACCACCACTGTGCCCTCTGATTCCTCACCTACCACTACACTACCCCCGCTCTCCCTTCCCTCCTCCACTGTGCTCCTGCTTACCCACCTACCACTACACTACCCCTGCTCCCCGCCTACCACCACGCTTACCCTGCTCACTTACCTACCACTGCACTATCCCTGCTCCCCCAAAATCCTTCACTGTGTCCCCTGCTTCCCCACCTACTACTACACTACCCCTGCTCCCCCACTCACCTCCTCACTACTCTGCACCCCCACCCTCCTCCACTGTGCACCTGCTCCCCCCCTGCAGCCCATATAGGAAAGAGGTAATATTCTGTTTGTAATTGTGTGTATGCGTGCGTCTCCCAGTAACTGTGTGTCTCCCTGTAACTGTGTGTGACTGCCTGCAAATGTGTGTGACTGCCTGCAAATGTGTGTGTGAATGCCTGTAAATGTGTGTGTGTGACTGTCTGCAGCTGTGTGTACTACTATCTGTCAGTAGCAGTGTGTGTACAACTGTCTGTAGCAGTGTGTGTTTGACTGTCTGTAGCAGTATGTATGACTACCAGTACGTGTGTGTGTGACTGTAACTACTTACTGTAACTACACCTGTAACTACTTTTATCTGTGTGTGACTACCTTTATCTGTGTGTGTGACTGCCTGTTCCTGTTTATGTGTGACTGTCTGCCTGTACCTGTGTGTGGCTGCCTGTAACTGTGTGTTTGACTATATACCTGTAACTGTGTGTGTGACTATGTGCCTGAGACTGTGTGCATGCGTCTCTGCAAAAATACACACCTGCAATCACACATGGGCCTACATATGTATTTTTATCTGAATAAAATACCCATCGCACACAGCCAATAAACCCAGCATAAATATCACACACATCCAATTATATTACACAATACAGTCAATACAACTATAACAAATATTAAACAGAGCCAAACATAGCATACCTATCACACACAGCCATCATGCCTATTCCACACAGACACCACACACATTACATCATATTATTATAAGGTTTATTACGGCGGAGTTCTGCCATACAAAATGCAATATGCAGCTGCTCTGAGCTCTGGCCAATCAAAGCATTGTGGGTGATTACTGTAAGTGTCTGAGCTCATAAGACAGTTACGGGTGGTGTGCACCCGGTAGAGATGCAGTCCAAAGTTCCAGCATACAGGACCACCGGAGATCAGCATGCCTCTCTCCATGCAAGATAACAACAGAGAATGGGGAATACATTTTAGTTTTTAAATAATTATTACTTTAATAAATCCAATATACAAACACTACACACCTATTGACACACACTATACATGGATAAAGGGGTATGACCGGATGGGGGCGCTGTGAAGATTTTTTGCACAGGGTGCCTTAAGGCCTAAGGCCGGCTCTGCTTGCTGATAATCAGTTAATCTAGAGCATTTGATTAGCAGCACCTGTCTGCAACTTAGTCTCTTAATACCAGTGAAAGCAGTATGGATGTATTTAGTTTTTCTCTATTTTGATTGATTTTATTATAGTTAAATAAATCATGTCACAGTGTAATATGTCATTTGTTGTTGTTCATCTGAGATTGTATTTACCTAATTTTAAGATCTGTTAAGGAACAGATGATTGTTATATCCTCATGTAAATGCATAGAATTCATAGAGGATGTACTTTTTCCCATGGCTGTAGGTCTAATTTCACTTCATATGATTGTGTTGGGATGTTGTGACAGTTGGACACAATTTTTATTTTTTATTTTTTTTTACAGACAACATTTCTCTCAAAATACTATATTTTTGTAATATGGGGATTTGGGGATTTTGAGTTTAATCTTTGTTTTAAATGATCACAATGTGAATGCATGCATAGATAATTAAACTGATGACCAATTTGTGGAATCATGAATCTGCTGTCAATTCTTGATGTTGCATACTTGTTTAGGGCAAAAAAAAATCAGTTCTTCCGAAACACTTTAAAAATATTGTTTTATATTATTTCAGTCAACAGAATTAACTTGGCTGTTCATTTCAGATGGATTTTGATACCAGAAAATATTCATGAAGCCAGAACAGCAGCAAAAAAGGGGTATATGACTGCTGACATGCTGCCTGGCCTATTGGCTATACAATATTGACTATATCTGCAATGACAATTCTGCTGAGTTGACAAAATTAGAGGTCTTTTATATATATGGATTACAAAATTAACTGAGATAAATAAATTTCAGAATGACTGATTGTAATCTTTTGGATTTTGATATTTTATCATAATTATATTAATAGGATAATTTCAAGTTAAAAATATGGGATTTACCCAAAAAGGAAATTAAAAGGTTAGTGGGCAATTGACCACCCACTCACTTCTTCCAACCCTGGAAGAGCAAAACTTTCCCACACATCCAGTCAGTTGATTAATGCTAAAAATGTGGAAACGGTTATTTTTATATTGGTGGTATTGGTATGTGAGCTACAGTTTTTACAGGAGCAGATTATTTCTCAACTGTCTCCATTGGCTGAGGCAATTCTCAAGCAGATACAGATGGACTTGGACATTGTGGAGGTAAGTGCACTATAGCCGCCAGAGAAAATATTGGGTTGCTGTCTGTCATCACCACACTCTCCTCTTCTAATTCCTCTGGCTCATCATACTCATAGTTGAATAACTCAAAAGCCAGAAGTGAAAGTGCTATGTCTGCAGCGGTTGGGAAAACAGAATTTTCATAAGCAGATTCATCACCACCATCACCACCAACATTGTAGACACTATTATGGTACTCTGCGCTAAGTCTTCTCTAAAGAGTGGTTTTGATAACCCCACAAAGTAGACCCTACTGCACTTATTGGGGAGATTCCAAAAAAGTATAATGCTCGATACAATGGCTGTGGTATAGAGAGCTGCCATGCTAGTGGAAGTGGCAGTACAAGTTGTTTGCAGCATGAAAAGGTTGGGGGAAAAACAATTGCCTTTTTGTGTTGAATTGGACATAACAGACATGCTGTTAATCCCACCATCCTGAGGCTGAATACTACTTATATAGTGTGAAATGGTGGAAAGGGAGCAGCACCTTGTGGGTGTCCTCAATTTCCAAAAGGCACTGCTCCCCTTCCACCATTTCACACTATATTTATTCACAACCAGAAAGAAGAGACTCTGGCCTGGGTTGTTTCAGCTACCTACCTACATCCTCACAAGTGCTAGAAATCCTACTTGCTACATTTTATTAATACTACTAATAGTGGTGGTGGCAACATTGATGGTGGAGGAAGCATTGGTTGCAGTTGTGGCAGTAGTTTCATTGCTGAAGTGTTCAAACTCTCAGACACAATGACAATGGTGGATTGGAGAACAGGACTCCTTCCCCTATCCCTACGTTCCTTCAATCCTGTTTTGGGATTAGTGTGTGACATTAATGATGGTGGGTTTGTTTTTTTCTTATTTATCTTATTATTGATATAAATAACTGTGTATTGAATACATGAACACAACTTTATTAAGCAAAAATAGGTGTTGGCATAATGTGGTGCAGTTTGGTGGATTTACTACTGTAACAATATACTGCTTGATTCTAAGAAACACGACAATTCACTGGAACACACCCAGAAAACAAACGAAAAAGAAGATTGTTTTTCTACAAACACTTAACATGAAAAGACCTATCAAATTGTAAATTTCTTATTCCAATTAATTTTGCAGTGTCAAAGATAAGGCTAGTAGACAGAATTAAATGTAACCACCAGTCTAGGATTAATGATGCAGGCTCAACGTGTGTGTAAGTGCCACTGTTGCAGTAGCTAGGGAAGTGGGTTTTTAATGTTTATAATTTCTTTACTTTTTATTGTGCAATACACTTTCCAAAAAAAAAATTTCTTTCTACAAATAGTTATTTTATTTTTTAACTTTTAACAACTCCGTATTGGTTTTATGTTTTTTTGCAGAGGCTATGAGTGACACACTTCGCTAGATATAAACAATAGTGTTATGCTAAGACTACAAACAGGTTAAAAACAAAACAATTTTTTTTAAACAACTTTATATTGGTAACCTAATCTCACACTAGAATCAACGACAAAAAAAACCAATCTCCTATCTCCCAGTCAATGTTGTGTCAAGTGCCCCGAGCAATATCTAGGTAGCTAGATGCACCATAAAGCTAAACCTATTCTTACACTAGAATCAATGACCCAGGATATCTTCCACTCTTACACAAGCACAGCAATGGTAGAACAGAGTTAATCACTGCAGTCTTCCTCCCTTAGTAGCTGCAGTCAAAGTTTCTGTAAAAATCCGACCTGGAAGCATAGATAGCTTTACTGTTATACAATCTTTTCTTTCTATAGGTCAGTTGTCACTTGATCCATTAAAAAAAAATCAACATTTATTGGTTGTCCCCGAAAACAATGAATCATCTTTTGTTTTCCACCTCTTGATTGGGCAGAAGATACAGCCCTCATGACTGTGCAGATGTCTTGTTAATCATGGCAAATCAAGATTATGATACAGGATGGCTCAGAAATTAGAATTTTGGCCTATTTTCCAATCGGACAAATTCACATTCAAATCTAATTCTAGAAATGAGTATTTTCAATCTGTCTGGTACTTTGTATCAGGAGGAGGATTAGAGGTGACACAATATTTTTGAAATGTTAATGGTTTCTTTTTTTTTTTTTCAATGTTCCTTGCAGCCCATGTGTTTTTGACATATCCAGTTCTTCTAATTCCATGTGAAATAAAAAATAGTTTTAAAAAACAATTTAGTTTCTCTATTAACTGAATAAGCTGTACTTGTAATTCAAGCATAATAATTTTATACACATTGCAGTTTATGTTCTCAACGTTATTTTGCATCTATAGCAAAGAATAAACTTATAGCACAAGTTGAGTGAACCTATCTACATTTGAGTGCTTATATGCCCAACAAGATTTTCTGTTTTCAAGTACAAGAGACTCTTTATAAACTGTTTTTACTTTTCAAAATGTCAATACATTTCAAGATCTATCATTCTATCTATATATCTATCTATCGTATAAAACAACTGTTATTTGCATTTGTAAATAGTTGCATTTTCCGTGTATAATACATGTTTTACTTTTACTTTGTAAATAATTAATACTATCATACCGAGAGTAAAATCAGAAAAGGTGAATAATGTGTGTAACAATTGTTTTTTTGTTTTTTTTTATAGAATGACATGTATGACATGGGAAGCATTTTTAAGAATTGAGATTATATTTTGTCACACTGGAGTAGGTTATGATCCTTAAATCAACCATGCTGTGGGAGTTCACAGTCAGACCACACATACTGTGTTTAATAACCTGGGGGTTGTAAGATCAATTCAGCTTTGTTGAGCCATGTCAGGAATGTCTGCCTTTGGACTTTACATGGTTAGCCTTGATAGGCTGTAAAAGTGTAAATGCTTTGATAAGGTTAAAATGGGCACCCAGCTGACAATAGAAAACAAAACAGAAGAAAACGCTGTTTAAAATCTTTTCTTCATGCTGTGGTAACCAACAACTGTTTGACAACATAACCAGTGTAATTTATGTTCTTTTCATAAATAGCCAGTTTCTCTTACCTCTGAATATACTCTTCAATATATGTTATGTAGGTAGATCTTGACAAACACTACTCATTTTCTAAATGGGATTTCAAGATATGTTATTAACAACACCTAAGTAAAACATGTCTGCATTGATTGTATTGTTTTAACATATTTAATGGTATGTATATATATATATATATATATATATATATATATATATATATATATATATATTCCACCCCAGAATCTAAATATAAATATATATTATTATTATTATTTTATTATTTATATAGCGCCAACAAATTCTGTAGCGCTGTACAATGGGTATATATATATATATATGTATATATATATATATATATATATATATATTGTGATAAAGTGAAGGCAGATAGGCCTTTTAACCCCAGGGGAAGTACATGTAGTTTGTGTGTTGCACAAGGCAAATCTTTGTTTAGTTATGGGCCCCTGGGGTGGAGCATTTGTGTATGGTGACTGGTGGTGGTGTTACAGCACAGCTAAAAGTTGTGATGGTGGTAGGGAAGAGTGCACAAGCACTGACAGATTCAGGGAGTGAGGTTACTCTGATGAAAAGTGTTCTGTTCCAGCCAGAGTATGCAGCTGCCTACTTTGATGTGGTGTTTAACAGGGTGGACTAGGTAGCACACATGATGAAGGTCCGGTTAGTTGTGAATAATGTAAAGGCTGCCGGTTTGACCGCTAACACTGCTAACTATTTGGGTTATCCTATTGGGTGGGGGCTCCTTAAACTACAAGGGAGCAAGGTAGCCGCTATCTACAATAGGCCACTTCCTGTAACTGAGAAGCTAGTCAGGGCTGGTAGAGCCCTAGGTGTTATGAATGTTCACGGTTTGTGTTCTAAGGCCGCTCGACCCGATGGGTCTGAGCTGGGGAGGAGGATATGTGATAAAGTGAAGGCAGATAGGCCTTTTAACCCCAGGGGAAGTACGTGTAGTTTGTGTGTTGCACAACGCAAATCTTTGTTTAGTTATGGGCCCCTGGGGTGGAGCATTTGGAGAGAAGGGTGGGCCAATGCTCCACTCCACAGTTTAGTGGTTTTCTGGGGAGACATAGATCCAGACCAGGGTTTTTTGGACCGTCTCCAACCCACTGCTCAGCTGCAGTTAATGAGCTGTTGCAGTGGGAATAAACCCCTACCTGCTAGGCAGGTAAAGGAGAGGGATTGCTGGCTTCCTCCCAGGAAGCAGGTAGGAGAGAGGCTGTTCTCTCCAGATACAGAGTCATGGAGACTAGGCACTGGGAGTGCAGAAAAGAAGCAGTCAAGGCTGGCTTGGAACACTGGGAGTGCAGAAAGGAAGCAGTCAAGGCTGGCTTGGAGCACTGGGAGTGCAGAAAGGAAAGCAGTCAGGGCAAGGCTAAATACTGGAGTGCTGAGAGTGGACAAAGACTCTAGGTTGGTGAAACCACTATTGTTTTGTTTAGTTTAACCCTGAGAGATAGGGAACCTAATGTCAGTTAGTGCTCAGACGAGCTAGGTTTTTGTTTATAAGGTTTTGTGTTACATTTATGTTTTCATTTACTGCTGTATCCTGTGTGGATTTACAAATAAAGTGCCTGGAGTATATGCAATTACAAGGACTGTGCCTATTGTTTACCCTAGAGGACCGTGCTACCTGCAAACAAGGATCACAATATATATATACAGTTGTGCTCAAAAGTTAGCATACCCTTAGATAATTGGTAATATATGTATCATTGTTAAAGAAAACACGAGTGAGCAGGCAAAACACATTTCTTTTATTTCTTTTGGGATTCATATTTGTTAAGACACCCACAGCTTAAATGGATGAAACCGCCGTTTAGCCGATATTCCCCCTTTCCAGAGACACAGGCTCTATACAGCCGACCGCCAAACTCCCGAATGGAGTGCAAGGGAATGCGGTAAATCCACGAACACAAAATCAACCGTACTCCTTCCATGGCTAAAACAGGCAAAATAAATCCTTCCAAGTAGCAATCCCCCCAAACACGAGACCAAGCTCCGTCTTGAGGGTAAAACAGGAATCTGTTTAATGAGAGCTACTTGCCCGGTATTCATGCAAGTCTCCCACCTGGTGGACACTCCCCTAGGGGACCAGATGGAAGACTGAGACATATATGGTACAGCAGCCAATCACAGTGGCCCAGGTTTAAACACTCCCCTTTATACAAGTAAATCCCTCCTCTCTATCCTGGAGATAATTAGGAAGAAATCCAATTATCTCCAAGGATAGAGGCAAACCGCCATCTTACATGGTATATGAAAAACACATAAAAATACATAACTGTTCAAATATTGAATACATTGGATTTGTGTCACATATCCCCAGATAGCCTGGATCTGAGTGCATATTACTACCGAATAGCGCTCAGATCCAGTGCACACAGTTCAATCGCCATGGAGTCAAAGTCTTTCACATGTCTTTCGGTATACGATTGACTCCATGGGATGGCTATCTGGGTTAAGTCCATTCGTATCATCTAAACTCCCGATTGGACCGGTGTTCGTATGCCTCGGCGAAAAAGAAGGGAGATCGGTAGTTTCAGCGGTGTTC